TTACATCAATGCTAGAATCAATTAGCATTAACAAGTGACTGGAAAAAAAGATTAAAGAGCAATTAACGTTTTAATTACCTTCCCAATTAAAGTTCAAAAGCATCCAATATCCAATTAAATAGTTGGGATCATTTTTTATTTGATAATTTTTTTTGCAGGCTGAAGGCATTGATGACACATTGATCTTTAGGGTATTTGGTTCTAAGACTGATTCGTGGTAGGCTCTGCAATGCCATCTTTAATTGTAAGAAGATTTTCACTTGCAGCTCATTAATCACTCAAAAGTGCTATGGTGTTTAGTATATAATGGTGGCTTTTTAAAACTTAGAGTGGGCTCTTTAAGAAGAGCATCATTAAAATCTTTTTGATAAATATTTCTGCTTTCATATTTTAAATTGTGTTTTTTTCCTTGTTGTTTTTAAAGAAAAAAGCTGCAAGCATAGGATTTTCCTCCTTCTCCCACAGTTTTTGTTGAGCTCACCATTCCATGTACTGTATAGTGGTGCCTCAACTTACAACCATAATCCGTTCCAGAAGATGGACATAAGTCAAAATGGTCGCAAGTCAAAGCACCATTTCCCATTGAAATGCATGGGAACACGATTAATCTGTTCCAGCATTTTTAAAAAACCCAAAGTAGGTAGGTAGGTAGGTAGGTAGGTAGGTAAATAAATAAATAAATAAATAGATAAATGAATGAATGCTGTAAAACATTGCAAGCTTACCTTACCAGTCCGAAGCCTCCTCTGATCGCGGCAGTGGTGGTGGCAGCCCGGTGCTGGGAGGCTGAGCCTGGCCGGGATGCTGTGGCTGCTCACCCCGGCCTCGCCCTCTGCCATGGCCAGCCCCGCCTTAGGAGCCTGTCGGGTGGCAAGCGGCTGGAGCATCCTGGCCAGGCTCAGCCTCCCGGCACTGGGCTGCCGCTGCCACATCCCTTTCCCTAACCGTTGGGGCAAAAGAGCTACAAAGCAGCAGCTTCTTTGCCACCAAGGGTTCGAATTTCCTGCCTTTCCCTCCTGCCTTTCCTGGTTGCAAGTCCAAGCTCAGGCCGCAAGTCGAAGCAAAATTTTGCGGCCAGAGCTGGTTGTATGTCGAAATGGTCCGCAAGTAGGGACGTACGTAAGTTGAGGCACCACTGTATTACCTTTCTGCATACTTGGAAAGTGTCTTCATACAAAATTGGCATCTATAATAGAGAGAGGTATACCAGTGACTGCTGTGGACATTTTGACACCTAAAGTGAAACCTGATGAGAAATCTCCTCCCAAAACTGGTAGACTGCCTTGAAAATTAAATCCTTTCTGTCTCAACGTTGATTTCTGTCTCAACGTTGTATTTTTTTCAAAACTCTGAGCCCTGTCTATATTTCTGTTTATAGTTCTTGCTGCTACTGGAGTTTTTGCTGTTGCCATCTCTCCCACTCTATCCATATAAGGGGTACAACTACAAAGTGGGAAAAATGCGAATGGATCCACTGGGAAGTCCCACCTGGGAAGTCGGGTTTCCTTAGTTCCATTTGCTTCAGCCCACCATGCAGGAATCAGCAGAGAGAGGGGGAAATTGGCACTCAAAAGCCTTTTCTTATTTATATATATGGGGACATAGTTTAAACTGGCATCCCTGGCCTTTTCATGAGTCAGGGCCAGTACCATTTTGTGCAAAACTTCCACAGGGCTGTGCCTATATATACTGTATATATATTTAAAATGCTGTAGTAAGGAACACGGCCTGGCAGTAAACCAAAAATCCGCTGTTAAAAGGCAATATTCTCAACAGTCTGGTTGTACGTAGAAACAATGTGACTGAAAAGAATACAATACTCATGTGGAAGGGAAACCAGTATAAATATTTATACTGAGATCATATTTAATTAGCTTTGTTTAGGATTGGCTTCTCAATACAGAAATAGATGGGCTTTTTTGGTTATACTGAGGCTGGCTATCACATTCTGCCGTGTTAGAATCATTCCAAGTCAGCTCTCTAGAATGTCACTAGCTCATCTGAATATATTTCTGTTCCGCAAAACAGATATCCATGAACCTGTCTTTACTTCCCTCAGAGGAACTCCAGCACTGGAAAACTAATATTGCTTTTGTCAGAATCATAGAATGAGTTTGAAGAAACCTATATCATAATCAAGTACAACCCCCTGCTCAATGCAAGAGTCCAAATCAAAGTATATCTGACAAATAATTGCCTAATTTTCTCTTGACTGGAGCACTTACCACCTCCCAAGGTAATTGGTCCCATTGTCATACTGGTCTAATAGTTAGGAAGTTTTTCCTGATATTCAACTGAAATCTTGCTTCCTGCAACTTGAATCCATGATTACATGTCCTGCACTTTAGAATGACCAAGAACAGACCCTGCTCCTCCTCTGTGTGACTATGTTTCAAGTAGCTTCAAGAAGTCCCTCTATGCCATTCTCTCTCTTTCTAAATGGAAAGGTTAGAGATACAACTGCATTCTGAGCATTTCCACATCTACTAGACTAAGCCAAATAGTCTCTAGGGATTATATAAGCATATGGGTAGGCATATATGGAAGGACAGGACCTTTCAGATGTTTTGCCCTCATTGGAGATTATTTCATTCATGGTGCTCCACTGTGAGAAAACCAGTTTTAAAGGTTCCAGAGGGGAAGCACAAACAGCATAAGGATCAATGTCCCCAATCTTGGATAATCTCTACTACATTTTCAGTCAGCTTCCCCCTGAAAACGGATTGTTTGCCAGCCCCTCTTTGGCTCTCAGATTTTTGTTTGTTTGCTTTAAATCCAATGTCATGGCCAGCCTCATTGAAAAGCAGCAGACAAATGGGATTTCACCGGACAAGCAGCAGTCGAGCAACAGACAGGTGGAATTTGAGCTTATGAGTTATCATCATAATATATTTCCTTTCCGTGCAATTGCACTGGACAGTTTCTGATGCAGATATACAGTTTCTGTTGACAATATGCGGTTGTTTGGTAAGAGACAGCTAATGCAAACACAAAAGTAGAACATCAGACATTTCCTCAGAAGGACCAGGGCCCAAAGCTGAAATGAAAGTTCAGTCTTGAAACTACAACACAGTATGTTTACAATACCTGGCAATTCCAGTTACAGTAAGTACAAACTGAAACTCTAGTCTGTCACTCATCAAGAAATTCCCATGCATTGGAGAAGAATGGCCACATTTTAACAGTATACAGAACCTTTAGTATTAGCTAAATTAATAGACAGCTCATGATCAGGGCAGTTCCTCCCCACACCGCATTTTGGAGTTACGTGTCCCCCCATTCCAATCTATGAGCCACCCTTGATTAAATTACTCCACAGAGATACTGCATTTATGCAGTTAGATCATTCTCATGGAGTCAGTATGGCTGACACTGACTTAACAGCAACCAGTGACAACTGGTGCCAGAAGGAACTGGTGGGGGCAAAGTACCAAAGGCTTTTGCCAAATACCAATTGGCTATGATTATAGTTTGCTTAGATATTAGGCTATAAATTTGTTCTACCCAAACTGTATTGTACTGTTGGAGGGAGAAGGGTGTGGATACACACAGAAAATGCTGAAGATCATTAGCTAAGCTCCTTTGATGTCACAGAATGTTAATGAATATTTGGTGCTAAATGGAAAAGAATTGTAAGGAAACAGTGTTTAAGATGAATCGTACTAATGGAGTGCTAATAGTGCTCATTACACTGGAGGTTCCTTATTCCAGATAACTCCATCACCATTAGTATGGTATGAGAAGACACCGCAATCAAAAATGCCCCCTACTCTTATATATTTTATCGTTTCCTCTGGTATTTTTGAGATTAGTGCTGTAGTGGTGATGTCATAGTCCTTGCTACACACACACACACAGAATCATGACATTGGAAGGGGCTTATAAGGCCATTGCGTCCAACCCCCTGCTCAATGCAAGAATCCAAATCAAATAATATCTGCCAGGTGGCTGTCTAAACTTCTCTTGAATGCCTCCAGTGCCGGAGCGCTCACCACCTCTTGAGGTAATTGCTGTATTGCTCTAAGAGTTAGGAAATTTTTCCTGATATTCAATCAAAATCTAACTTCCTTTAACTTGAGCCCATTGTTGTGTGTCCTGCACTCCGGGATGATCAAAAACAGATCCTGCTCCTCCTCTGTATGACAGCCTTTCAAGTATTTGAAAAGTACTTATTTCCTCTCAGACTTCTTTTCTTAAGGCTAAACATTCCCAGTTCTTTTGGTCTTTCTTCATAGTGCTGGGTTTCCAGCCTCCTTGTCATCCTTGTTGCCCTCTTCTGAACTTGTTCCAATTTGTCAGCATCCTTCTTGAAGTGTGTGTCCAGAAATGGACACAATACTCAAGATGAGGGGAACTAGTACCTCATGGGATTTGGAGACTACTTCTGTTAATGCAACCTAAAATAGCATTTCCCTTTTTTGTAGCCACATCACACTGTTGGCTGATATTCAGCTTGTGATCTACAATGACTCCAATATCCTTCTTGCTTGTAGTATTGCTGAGTCAGATATCCCCAATCTTGTAACTGTGTATTTGGTTTCTTTTTCCCAGGTGCAGTACTTAGCACTTATCCCTGTTGAGTTTCCTTCTGTTGTTTTCAATCCCAGGCCTATCAAGATCATTTTGTTTCTGTCTTCCAGGGTGTTAGCTATTCCACCCAATTTTGTGTTATCCACAAATATGATTAGCATTCCTTGTATTCCCTGATCCAGGTCATTAATAAAAAATATTGAATAGCACTGGGCCCCAGACTTGTTGTCCCCTCTGGGTCTGAGAATGAGCCATTAATCATCACTCTCTGAGTAGAATTCTGTAGCCAACTGTGTATCCAGTTGTTATATCCAATCCATACCTAGTTAACCTGCTGATCAGAATATCACAGGGTACTTTGTCAGAAGTTTTGCTGAAGTCAAGATATATTATGTTTACAGCATTCCCACCATCTACTTGGGAGATGTTCCTAGCAATGACTTTAAATTTCCTTCTTTGTTTCAATTCAGGTACTTGTTGCCCCAATAACAGAACAAGGACAAAGTCAGAGAGACATCTACTTGCCCGGAGAAGGTCAGAGGTGGATGGATGCCAACACTGCCCAAGTGTTTGATGGAGGGACTTTCATCAGAAACTACTCTGTTACACTTCTGGATGTGCCAGTTTTTCTCAAGACTTATTAGATTCCAAGTTGCCCCAGATTCAGAAGTACTTGTACTTTGGAGAAGGATGGCTGACAAAGAAATTCTGTGTATTCGTGAAGGCTTTCACTGCCGGGATCCAATGGTTGTTGTGGGTTTTTTTGGGCTCTTTGACCATGTTCTGAAGGTTGTTCTTCCCAGTCTCTGTGGACGGCATCTTCAGAGGATAGCACTCTGTGCTCTGGTGTAGTTTGCTTGGGAGTTGAGTATTTATGGCTGTGAAATAGGCTTTTGTACTATCACCCATCTCCTGGGTGATGGAAATCACCCATCTCCTGAAAAGGATGCAGAGACTGGCGAAATGTTAGGAAGAACAACCTTCAGAACACGGCCAAAGAGCCCAAAAAACCCACAACAACCAAAAGAAATGCTGTCTTCCTTTGAAAATGGCTTTGATTTTAGCAAGATGCGCTTTTCCAGAAACAACATATTAAAGCAGATATGAAAAGTGCACATTTGAAATGGTTTTCTTTCCACTACCCAGTTTTCAAAAACAATAGACCTTGAAGCATTTTTGTGGAACAACATCTGCCCAGTTCTTTTGGCAGAAGCTATTCTTCTGCCCTGTATTGCAGGGTAGACATGAGAAACCAATATACACAAATATATACACTTTCACATAGATCTATTGAGTTATAAGTAAGATTTATTAGGTAATCCATAGCCATTAGCTCTCAGGCAGCATACAATAAAAACAATAACATCCCTAATCCACACAAATCAAATTGAAAGAAGCCTAATAAAACAAGCCATTAAAAGCATAATAGAAGCAGGGCCTTCTACAAGTATTACAAAAGGGAACAATTGAAGCACAGGTTGGAAGTTGCAATTGATGGTCTAAGTTACAAGTTTCACATGAAAAAAGTTATATTGGTTGCCAGTCAGAGTAAGAAAGAAAACAGAGTGGGCGTATATAAACAGCAGCAATCTCTTGTATTCTGGCTTTGGTAAGATTTTCTGTGCACCGCACATCCCTACATGTGATACCTGTGTCACATCCCTCTGCATAGCATGTGACCTCCATGAGATTACCCGCAAAACCAAATGTAGCTCTCTCAACAGAATAAAGGTTGTGCAATTCTGTTTTATGTTAACTTCTTGTATACCTTATCTGGTCCCAATTTTGAAAACCCTCACTGGTCACCTAGAAGAGTAGGGGGAGGTTAGACTAAGTACTTTGCAAATGTTTTTGGATTATAGCTCTCAAAAATCAACCAACACACAGCCATAATGATTGCCAGGGCTCCTAGTAATTGAAGTCAAGAAAAAAAAAAACACCTTCTAACTTTTCCAGCTTCTAGGGGAGCTGAATGAGACTTAAACATGTACACTATCCTTAAGTGACTGAGAATCTCATTCTGATTCTGTCTGTTAAAAATTGATATAACAAAAGGAACCAGGTAATACTCAGAAAGATTAATGAGATGTTCTCTGAGACACATTGGTATGCTAACCCCATGTTAGCATACTCTCTTGGAAGTCAAGGAAGATTTCTGAAGTGTGTGTAATAATTATGTATGATTGGGCACCAGCTGGGAAGAGAATTCTATATGGATTTAGGCTTTCAAAAACTTAATTTAATAATTCTTAGTTAAATCTTGCAGACACAACTTATTCGTGTTTTTATAGTGGTGAATAATATTTGCACCAACGATGATATGAAGGCAGTAGACCACAGCAAGCAAACACCTATTTTCTGTTTGCCCAAAAGTAGGTTTTACATTTACATTGCAAATCATTCAGAGGAAGAACTCTTTAAGCCCCATGTGTGGAAAGGTTTTTAGATGTTAGCTCCTTTGAGCCTTATCTGTCTAACGGATTGTAAAAGCAGTGTCAGTTTTGTATAATATCTTAAGGCATGTGCTTACTGTGGTTACAAAAGACTAAAGAGGCATCATATTAAAACAGAGAACACTCGAAATCAGGGGAAGTTGACAAAAGAAAAAACTAAGATAAACTCAGTCTACTCTGCAATTTTTGAATAAAGTGATTGAAAAGCAAGCTGGTATAAAATGTCATTAGGCAATGCATCTGTTTGGAAAACTGTACACTGGTTGGATAAGGTGGCTCCTTATCCGACCAGTGGGAATTCTTGAGCATTGTACTGGGCCTGATACTCCTCAAAGGTTTTTGTAGATGACAGAAGATACAGAGATGAATGGAATATTTATCGGGTTTGCAGACAGCGCAAAGAAAACTGAAAGAAGCAGGTGAAGACTCACAAGACAGGAATGACATTAGCTTGATAGAATGAGAACAAAAGTGAACAAAATGCAAAGTTCTGCATTTAGACAAAAATAAAAATCAATTGCACAGCAGATGGGGAATACCTTACTTGGCAGTGAGATGTATGAAAAGGATCTTAGGGTTTTAATCAGTCATCCATTGAGTGAACAGTCTGATGCAGTTGTAAAAATAGTGGTGCAATTTTAGGATGCACTGACCATAAAATATTATTACTCCTCCATCCTCCTATCAGCAGCACTGCTCTTTAGGAAGGTTGCAAACAAACTGGAACAGATTGCAGGAAGGATAAATAAATAAATAAATAAGGATTGTACTAGATGATCCATTGACCCTGTTTCCTTTGGGGGGGCAAAGTGCACCTCCAGGTTGCGGAAGATGGTTGTCATCGCACATCGTTCTGCTCACAGACATATCCAGCATTTAATGTACTTTGTTTTGTGGTTGATTTCTAAAAGGCAAACACACCCTGGTTGAATTTGCAAGGCAAACACACCCTGGTTGAATTTGCAAGTCTGGCTGCTGTGACACATATCTCTGAAGAAATCCCCCTGTGGAGAGAAAATGTAATCTTAGGGAATGCAATTTCCCTTTACTGTCTAGTCTGACCCTGAGCTGGTCAGGGACATATGAAGCAAGTCCTGTGAGGAAAAACTGAAGGAACTAGTTGGGACTAGCCTGGTACATTTCAAATATCTGATAGCTTGTAAGATGACACAAATTTGTTGCTGTTGTGTGTTTTTTGTTTTAGGGGCAATACAAAGTCTTCCATGCCCTAAGACCAGAAGAGAAGCACTTTACCCCCTTCTACACAGGTGCACCTTCTCACATGGCAATGCTCATATGGGCTATGAAGGTGGCTGCACTGTCTTCCCCTCAGCAGTGAAGAATTGGAAGGCAGGCATGGCCATTCCAGGCCATCTCAGTAGCCTGGCTGCTGCTTCTTGGCTGACTATTTTTAATGCCTGGATCCTAAATGACCTTTTGAGCCACCGGTCACACATAGGCTTGGTACTGAGGAGCCCTTGGAACCAGACATTATAAAGAGCCAGCCAGGAAGTGGCTGGGCTAGGCAGGCAGCGCAGGATTGGGGCAAAACAGGCATCTGCTGTAGTCGCTCTGACTCCGCATTTCATGCATTAATGGGGTGGGAGGGGGGTCTAGGCAGCCAACAAAGTCTCCTGCAGCTCCATAATAGTGCCAGGCCTCTCTTTCTAAAAGATAAAAGCTGAACTCATTTTTCTCCCTCTATTTCACTTATTGGTTCTGTCTTCCTTGTTTAAACTGTATGCCTGAGGCCAAGAATATATTACTACCTATATTATAAGTGGCTCTGAGAGCCTCTTCCTTTTTTTTTTTTTTTTGCACTTTAATCCTTTTTTTAAACATGTCATTCTTTACATTAAAATGCTTTTTACCCCTCTTCCCAAACAACAAGAGAGCCTCAAAATGTGAAATGACCTCAGGGCTCTCAGAGGGCCTGGCAGAAAGGAAGTGAAATAAATAAATAATGATGTGCAAGAACTTTGGCTTTGCTGGACTGGCATGTTTTCTCCAAACCCATTGGCTCTCAATAAGCTCTGGGTGGCTGGGAACTGAATTCTAACTAGAAGGTACAGTATTTGGCAGAGGTATCAAAGTCGTCTTTCTGCTTTAGTCTGTGAATAACTGTGATGTGTATTGCAGCAATATGCAAATACAGGGGAGACTGCTTTGCAGACATGATCATTACCTGGGAGCAATGTGTGTGTGCATGTCTGTGCATGCTCACATATTTGCATGCATGGGTATATAGGACAGAGACTGAGCGGGGCGTGGGCATACAAAGTCATTACACAAACTGCATAGTCCCAGGGCGCCCCCAGGAGAAGAGAATGGTCAACCACTTCTGAGTACACTCCACATGGAAAACCCTGAAAAGGGCTGCCATAAATCATCCTGGAAAAGGCTGCCATAAATCAGAATGGACCTGACAGCACACAATGATGGTGATGATAACCAAACTCATACAGTCATTCAGAAGATAGGTAAACTGACTATGTTTGGTTATTCATAAACTAAAAAAACCCCAACCTTACATGAAAGGGAGGACACAAGAGGTTTGTCATCTAATCCTTTTTAAAACTGGACAAGAAGTTTCCATGTTGGATAGTCAGCTGAAAGAAAGAATTGGACTGTGTGCCCAAGAAATCCTAAGCAAAGGCTTGTGTTTGAATTGGGCATTAAAAATAACGAGTATGTAACAACCTCTTGCCCTGTAAGTCATAAAACATGCGGTGCACAGCAATTAGCCTGCAACAGAGACAGACTTACAGGTGCATCCTTTGATAAGGAAGACCTTACCCAGCACTCCTACATTTTGAAGCCTGGGATGTTGGCCGAAGGACAGTCTCAGAGGAGGCCCACAATATGTAGAGAGCCCTACAGCAACCATCATTTCTATCACTTGAAGGATCTGAGCATTTTTTACTTCAGATGCCAACTTTCTTTTATGGGGAAAAGTCACATATTGTATATCAATGTAGTCTGGGGTAGTGTAGCGGACTTTTATTGTGCTGAGAAGGCATGTAAATCCCATTGGAAGCTTTGCCCTGAGCCTGTTAGACTAAGATCTGGTAAGAATCAAGATGAGGAATAATCAGTGCAGAATAGAGGGGGACTAGTACCTTTAGGGAATGTGGTGGCGCTGCAGGTTAAACCGCAGAAGCCTCTGTGCTGCAGGGTCAGAAGACCAGCAGTTGTAAGATTGAATCCACGCGACAGAGTGAGCTCCTGTTGCTTG